CATGTGGCCTGGGTGTGTGCAGAGAAATGCAGCCCCCACAAATGCCTTGGTTTCCCCACAAGTTGCCAGGTTGACTGCTTCCAAAGGGGAAGAAAGGCAGAGATGTACATCCACAGGAGTCCTGGCCATGTCCAATAAATGTGCAAACATGTGGGGGGATATGTTAGGAATGATTTCAGCTGTGATGCCAACAGTGCCTTCTCTCCTGGTTCTGTGCATTATAGGTGAGTAATGTAATAGTTGGCTCTCACAATTAAGAGATAGCTATTATGTGGACAGATATTATGTTCAAATGGAAAGTGCTGTTATTGTAATATGTCCTCCCATAGTCCTCTTCTTATCCCCCTTGTAATCGCCTTGGTAGTCAGGACATTTGGGGAGGGCTGGCTTGTGACCAGCAGGAGGGGTGGAACAACACCTGACCTCCAATCAAGGTGCAAGAAAGTAATCTCCACCAATGGACAGCAGAGAAAGAGTTGACTGACAAAACATTGGGAGGGGCTAAGGGTATAGAAAGCAGAGCATCCCTTTTGTAGATGAGCATGTGGCTGCTAATCATGGAGACTCCCAGTGCTGCAATCTTTCCTTATTCAGTCCTTTGTTAAGGTTTAATAAACCTTTAAAAAGTTAAAAGAAGGGTCGTTTCTCAGATGGGCAATGCTTTGGGCCATTTTCTTGGTGTGATTTCCTTTGCTTGTGTCCCATCTGAGTGCTCAGTTGGGGTACAGGCTGTAGGTGTTTGGGGCACTCTTGGAGTTCCTCTTGGATCCCTTGAACAACAGGCTTTGGCCCACAAGGGGAATTTATGCTGCTTTGTGACAGAGGAGAACTTCCCAGGCTCTTTTGTGTTTGCTGTAGGGAAGGTTGGTTAGTGCTTGGCAAAATCTCACAGAGCAACATGGAGCGTTTGCTTTGTGATGTCAGGGCATGGTTGCCACATTGTCGTGGTGACATCAGAAGGGTGCCTTGGTGCATGGAAGGCCTGAGTGTCAGAGCAGCCCTAGCGCTTGCTCAGTTCAGGAGAATCCTCCTGGCCAAGGCTTTTGTTAGTGGGCTTTTGCACACTGACAGGAGCCTCGTTTTTTCTACCGGGTGCGCGCAGCCTGCAGACTTGCAGGCCACTATCACAATGATGGAGCGACTGGCACCTGTCCTTTTCGCCGCATATGGCGTTACTTATGGTGCCTATTTCATTACACACTTCGCACGTAAGTAGATGTTTCCTCTTCTGCTTAGGTTAGGGTGTAACCTAACCTGGCTTTTGTATGTCTTCCTGCTCTTTCTTAGTGACTGAGTTTCTGCTTTTGAAACAGAAAGAGCATTAGGATGCCACTGCTTTGGTCAAGCTCCTGCCAAGGTGTTCAGCTAAAAAGGGGGTGTCTGTAGCCACAGGGGCAGCATTTGCAAGGCAACCTGCAGGGCTTCTGTTCCCTCCACGGGAGAGTCTGTGACAGCAGAGTCTGTCATTTCCTCAGTTTGCTGGGACAAGCAAGACACCTTGGAAAATGTAGCCTGGCAGACCTTCTTGAAGGCCTTCTAAAAACTCTGCAGTTGTTCCCAGAATTCAGGGAAAGCTTCTTTCTTTCTCAATTTTGTCATGAAGGGATTTGACTGTCTAACTTGACCTTTTACCAAGTGCTTGAATAGTGATTCCCTTTGCAAGGAAGTACAACCACCAAAGCAGTGAGCATCTACCACAGCTCAGGGGAATTTTGGGGAAGCTTTTCTGGGCAACTGTTTCCAGCAAGTAAATGAGAATTAGTGCATGCAACTGATTAAAAAAAAAAAGACCCGAAGAAGAGGATTTAAAAAGCAGTTTTATGTGTTTTCTAGAAGAGGAGCATTGAGTGTTAAAGAACAATTTGCATTCTCTTGGTCATGTTTGTAGCCATTTACTGGCTCAACAGGCCAAAGTGTAGGCACAACCAAGAATTTTGACGTGGTCTCTTGCTGGCTGTGTGAATGAAATGTGTCAAATGTGTCTCTGGGAGGGATGTTATGAAATGGGAAATCACCTCTGTTTGGGTTGACTTGTTCTGTGGGATTCAACAGCCCAGGCAGTTTTCTGACAGCATCTGGTTCATTTCCCCTGCCCACTACAGGTCACCTGAGGCGTGTATTCAGAGGTGCTGATCCTGAGGTGAGTGAGAAAGGAACATTTCCTGTTCCTGGTGATTAAGAATTGTAGAGCAAGCTGAGAGCTTGGCCAGTAGCAATAGAATGTAGAGCTAGGAAGGCTGAATGAAAATCCATTTTCATGCCTGCAACAAAAATAACAAAGCCAGAGATGGATATTATTAAATTTCCATCTCAGAGCTTTGAAGAACTAGAAACCTACTTTTGCAGAGAGAACCTTGCTTGCTGATAACAGATAGGGTGGAATATTTACTTAGGATCAATTTCCTTTACAGTTGAATTAGACCATTTTAATTTAGTCAGAGTGCCTTAGAATACTGTTCCTATCAAAATTTATGATATCTATTTAGAAGATGTCATTGTAGAACAGGAAGGCCATCTTGCAATGGTGCCTGCTGTATCTGAAGTGAAATGGGCACCTTTGTGGCTGGGGAGCTGCATGGGCCAAAAGGAGCCAGGGTTGCTGCTGGCCTTGATCAGCTGAAGATGAGGCAGCGTGTGGCCATGTGGCCAAGAAGGCCCAGGGCATGGTGGCCTGTGTCAGCAGCAGTGGGGCAGCAGGAGCAGGGCAGTGAGCGTGGCCCTGTGCTGGGCAGCGCTGGGGCCACAGCCGCAGTGCTGGGTGCACTTGTGGGCCCCTGGGCAGCAGAAAGTCCTTGAGGGGCTGCAGCGCGTGCACAGAAGGACAGGGGAGCTGGGCAAGGGGGTGTAGCACAAGGCCAGTGAGGAGGTGTTGAGGGAGATTTAGCCTGGACAATGGGAGGCTCTTGAGGGACCTTTCAGCAAAATTCCATCATTCCCTGCATGACAGTGCTCAGCACAAGGGCTGTTTCACTGCCAAACATCCCCTCACTGCATCCAAGGGCTTGAGACACTGCAGCGGGTGACACTTCCATCTTGTGGTTTGTTGGCTCGTAGTTTTGTTAGGAAGAGAAGGCCTGTTCATTTTCCTGTTTTTCCAGCAAGTAAAGATGCTTCTGTACAATGTTTCCAGCCCTTTTGCAGCCCTGGATGGCATTCTGATTCAGCCTGAGTTTTCCACGTCTGCAGCAGCAGTAGCAAAGGCGTTGCTGTCGCTTTCCTAGTTTTCCATTTCAGTGCTTTCAAGAACTAAAAGCTCCCTTTTGCCAAGACAACCTTGCTTGCTGATAGCAGCCAGGGAGGAATATTGAATTCATAGCTACATAGAATTCCATTGAATTAGCCCATTTGAATTTGGTTGGTGAGGTTGGTGTGACTTAGAATCCCATTACCAAAAAAATGTATGATTTCTCCTTAGAAGATGTGGTGGTAGATCAGAAAAGACATGAGGTTCTAAATGATAGGTAACAGCCTGTCCCTCATGCTTCTCTCTTGCCACAGGTGACAGAAGCAAGAGCCGTCTCTCCCCTGGCTCCCGCTGCTCCTGGAGAAGAAGCTAAAGAGGAGCAAACTGAGGTGGATGACCGCCAGCCTCCATCAGTGGTCACACCAGAGCCTGGATATTCTGGAGCTGTAAGTGCCAGTTGTGTGTGGTGCTGTCTTTAGTGCAAGGCAGAGCTGCAAGTTTTGGAGCAGCCAGCACTTGCTGTTGCTGGCTGAGGATGCTGGGTGCTGGAGTCCTGCCAGGAGCTTGGGATTTCCTGCAGGCAGTGACCGCAGAACTTGGCCTTTGAGCTGTCATGTTGAGGCAGCAAAGGGCTGGTGCCTGTGGGAGAGCATCTGGCTGCTTGGCTCAGGGAAGCTCTATCGCTTGGCTTCTGCAGTGCTATGGCCAAGGGCAAAGGAGGGAGTGCTGGAGGTGCCAGGCCTTGGTTTGTTTGTTTTCCCTTTCTGGAAAGGTGTGTTTGGCTTGTGAAAGCGGTCAGCACTTTCCTTGAGTAGTTCTTCACTTGTACAGTCTCTTTTGGGCCAGCTGTCTTTTGGCTTTTGATAAGCTGCAAGGGGAGGATTGTGTTGTCCATGCAGCTGTGGGGGGCCATTCCTGTCCTGCGTCGCCAAAGAAACAAAGTGCGGAGTCGCGAAGCTTTCTTGTGAGGCCAAAAGCAGAAGCGGCCAGTTTCTGTTGATGCATCTTTTGCTGCAGTCTGCAGCTTTGGCAAGTGCCTCTGAGCCTGCAGTGGGGGTGAAACTGCAAGTCCTTGAGCACTGTCTTGTGTTGCTCAGAAGAGGAAGGCCATCGTACAATGGTGCCTGCTGTATCTGAAGTGAAATGGGCACCTTTGTGGCGGGAGAGCTGCGTGGGTCAAAATGCTGGTCAGAATTCTCAGTTGACAAAAGAGGGAGAAGAAACACCTTGGTTCTCCTCCATATACTGAGGTGGCCATAGAGTTTCTCTGACATCTATCAGAGGATCTTTGCACACATTCTTATCTCCTGAATGACCAGGATTTCTTACAAGAGTATAGATGTCAGGTATGCAGGAATGCTGGTGCAGGCCTGAAATGAACTTGAACTGCAGAAGTGTCTCTCACAAGGGCTGAGCTCACCCAGGAAGCCAGCTGCAGAGCCAGGATGGAGCTGTGGGACAGGGTGGGGTGTCAGTCACTACTGAAAGACAAACAGGACATGGCAGAAGCAGAGGGAGGCCCTCAGCAGACCCTTGAGAAATGCCACATCTTCCCTGTCAGCTGCCTGAGAGGCTGTTGGAGCTTCAGTCCCAGATGGCCCCTGATTGTAGGGCCAGGGTCACTTTGGAATCTGTGCCTCTCCTCAAACAGAGAATGACCCAGCAGAGCAGCAGCACAGTGCTTTGGGAACGTGTGAGCCCAGCAGTCTTTGAGTCTTGGCCCACAAAGGTCGTGTGGGAAGTTGAAACCCATCTTCTCTTGCTTTCTGTGCAGGTGCTTCTAGAGAGAGAGCAGGAGCAGATTGCTTCATCAGAGATGCCATGGCAGACTCAGGGAGAGCTGTTCCCAGGCCGAGAGCAGGAAGAGCAGCTCAGGCAGCAGGTGGAAGAGCCACAGGAGAATGGCCAGGTAAGCCTGACTGGCCAGGGGACAGAGGGAAGGGCAGGAAGAGGGGCATAAACCAGAGCTCTTGGGACTGAGGAGGCCAGGAGTCCCACAGGCACTGGAAGCACAGAGCCTTGGAATCGGCAGAGATCAGCCCTGGGACAGGAGGCTTACAGTGGAAGCAGATGTGGGGAGGAAAGCAGAAAGAAGTGGCTGAATAGATGTGATTTTAAGGCTGCAAGAGGAAAAAGCTGAGCCTGATGGCAGCTCCCAGTCACTTGCTCTGCATTTGTGTGTACAGAAGATGAAGGCAGAGCCACAAGCAGAGCTGCCCAAAGCTCAGAGTGACATCATGGCAGTGAAGAGGAGGAACAAGGAAGACATGGGAAGAATTCAAGAGGAGAATCTCCATCAACAGAGGGGCAATCAACAAAACCAGGTGAGGGAAAGAGTGGCAGCCACTCCACTCATAAGGCGTCCTCTCCCTCCTTGTTTACAGAACATCAAGGAATACCTGCAGGCCGAGCTGCAGAAAACTGACGCTAGGATCAGGGCATTGGAGAAGAGGCTTGAGGAAGACATGAAAATCATCAGAGAGAAAGCTAATCCCCTCCCTCAGGCTCTGCAAAAGCAAGTGAGTGAAAGAGGGATGCAGTCACTGCAGTCACCAAGCTGGTGGTTTCTGTCCTTCTTGCCTTTCCACTCAGAGCAGCAGGGAGTGGGGCCATGCCTCTGATCCTGCTGTAGTGTGTATCACAGTCACTCTGAAGGACATTTCCTGGTGTGCTGAATCTCCACTGCTGCCCTTGACAGTGAAACTCGTCCCTTGGCCTTTTGGCCAGCAGTCATCCAAATTGATTCCTGCTGGCCTGTTCCTGCTCTCCTTGTTTCTTGAGGTGTTTTTGCAGCAGAATGTGGTGACCCAGATGGAGGATTGGAACAAGCTGTCTGTATCCTCTGTCAATCTTTCCCTTTTCTCACAGTCAATGACTCCTGGCTGACAGGGACAAGCTGTAGTGTCTGACTGCTTTGTTGTGTTTGACTTGAGGTGCAAGTGTTGACATCTCACCGGGCAGCCTGCAAAGACTTCCAGCGAATTTCTGGCAATGAAGAGCCCCAAGGTCGGCATGAAGCACAGGAACAGTGCCCACCAGAAGTGCTCCAGGTTGAGCACATCTACACGGGCTCTGGCACTAAAGCTGCTGCCGCAGCAGCATCACCTCGAGGAACCTCTATTGTCAAACCTGGGATCTTGATCTCGGGCAGTTTGTTCATCTCCAGTGCTGAGAGCAGCATGGCTGCTGCAAACCAGGAGACTGAGGAGAAGTACCTGGAGATGCTGGGTACGTCTGGGGGTTTCTTGTCTGAGGGACAGTGTGTTGTGTGCAGGTGTCAGCAGAGCTGTACCAAATGCTCCTCCTGAGTTTGGTGTCACAGGGCCATTTAGGACTCCCCAGAGGAAGTGCTGTGCTCCGAGGCAGCGAGAGAGCACTCTGGGTGAAATGGACTGGCTTTGGAGTATTGTCTTTTTGGTTGGGGATTTTTTATTGGGCTTTTTTTTGGTTTGGTTTGGTTTGGTTTTTGTGGGTGTTTGTTTTCAGTTTTCTTGTTGCCTTTTTTTCTGTTTGTGGTTTTTTTTTATTTTTGTGGGGTTATATTTGTTTATTTTGTTTGTGGGGTTTTTTTTGGTGAAGTTTGTTTTTCTCTATCCTGAAGGAGCCCATCTGCCTCACATGTCCTGCTGATGTCATTTTTTTATGACTGTTATTGTTACTATTACTACATCTGCAGTTTATTTTCATGAGAATGCTATCTTTTTGTCAAAGAGAACTACTTTGAAAGAACATCAGGTTACAGGACAAATAGAGAGCATGAGGTGTTTTCCATGTGCCCCCAAAGAAAAAACAGATACTTTTAGAACAACTTTTATTTAATCATCTAGTTTTCTGCTTATCAAGATGTGTCCAAGAGACACATCCAAGTGGTGTGATCAGATAAAAGTGTAATGCAGGCATTTCTCAGGAGAGAGCCTCCAGCCCAGCCATGGTCTATTCCTCAGATCAATGGCACTTTTCCATACCCAATTCCCACTCTTTCCCATGACTGTTAGAATCCTAGCCATTGGCCCAAGCCCTGCTCACATCAGTCCCTAGGAAAACACATCAAGTCCTTTGTGATTCTGCAGCACAGCCCAATCAATCTGCTTCTTGCCCGGAACAGCTGCCAGTGCTGTGCTCTCAGATAAGACCTGGTGGGGCTGAGACCAGAGCCCGGTGGATTCTGTGTCTACCATCACCTGCTGGGACAAAAAGGGCATTGATCTGTGCCTCGGTGGGGCTGATCTCAAAGCCCATCCTCTTGTGTCCTGAATGGGGGCAACAGCTTGTAAGGGGCTCAGGCTCACTCTGGCTTCTTCCCATCAGTGCCTGTCAGTGCTCATGCTTGGGCTTTGCCAGCCTTGTTGTGCTGGCTGCCCTGTCCCTGAGGGCTGGAGGGACTGCAGAGGCTGGAGCCATCCTTAGCTGGGAGAGGGGCATCTTTGAGCTCAGCCTGCTCATAAAGAGGTGAGGGTCCTGATGCTGAAAGGCCCATTGGGATTAGCTCTAGCATGAGCTGCTCTGGTTTACAAATGGGAAGGCATTCTTTTGGCAAATTGCTGAAAGGTGGAGAAGATGTCCTCCTCTCCTGGAAATGCATCTCCCTGTGCTTTCTTTCCTATCAAGAGAACTCTTCAAAGGACTGTACAAAATCAGTCTCTGTGCCAGCCATTTGTGCTGCAGGGCTGCCTGTCCTGTTGCTGTTGTGATTGTTGTTGTTACCCAGCAAACTCCAATGGGCTCAGAGCCCCAGAGAGTGGGGCTGCCTTTTGTACCTCCTGGAAGCTGGGATCTGTGCTTTCAAGTCAGCATGCTGCATTTTGTTTCCCTCAGGGAGAATGGTGAACCCCATTGAAAATCCTGTGAAGAAATACACTGAACTGGAACATATTGGCAGCGGGTGAGTCCAACTGCAGTTACTCCTGCACAACCATGGGCCAGGTGTTTTTCTGGTGGAATGTCCATCCAGCGTGAAGTCAGGCCAGCTGCAAAGATGTTCACACACTGGGGATAGATTGTCCCATCTCTCAGTGCTGCTCAGAATTTGTGAGTGGTCTCAGAAGGCATTGTCAGCGACATCTCCATGCTGCCAAGGTCTTGCCTGCATCAAAGAACAGGACCTTGAAGGTCTCCTTGTCACACAAGTATGGAACAGTTCTGTGTCAATTTATCGTTTTTGGATGTCTCTAAATCATACTGGCCCACTAATGAAAAAGTAATCTTGCTTGCCTGAAAGAGCAACCTACCCCCTATCAAAGCTGTGAGCTAACAGTTCTCAGGAACATTTCTTTCCAAGAGTTTGCTGAAGGAAATACTCTGTGGTCAGGATAGAAACTGCACAGTTTAGAAACTGAAACCCAAGACGAAAGAAGAAGCTGTCTTTAGGAGCTGAGACAGTAAAGCCCAACACTTCAGGGACAGGCCCAGTGCCCATGAACTTGGGAGGAAAATGCATCATCTGCCTTCTGGCAGAGCCCTCCTGCATCCTGCAGGTTTTAGACATTTACAGCACAGATCTCCTGTGTGGGCTGGCTTTCACTGCAAGATCTAAATGGCTTCTCCTTTCTCTGCTTCTGTTTTGTTTCTAGGACTTTTGGAGATGTTTGCCGAGCACTCAACAATGCCACAGGGAGAGAGGTAGATGTCAACAGGCCCTGCAAACTCTGCTGCTCTTGAGGGGCTTTCCCCTCTGGTGTGAGCTGTGGCTGGAGCTTTGGGCAGAGCTGTGCTGAAAAGGCACAAGAAGCACAGACTGGTGCCAGCCTGCAAAATACATTTGGGACTTTGTCCTCCTCAGCTGCCAGAAGGAAGGCACGGAGGGCACCAGTTCCTTTCAGAGAAGGACGCGCTCACTCGCTCTCCATTGCTAAAACAAAGGTGGTGCCTTCAAGCACCTCACTGCTCTTTGGGGCTACAGCTTCAGAGTCCTGAATTCTCATTTCTGGCTGCCAGCAAATACATCTGAAAGTTCCTGGTAGTTCCTTAGCCACCTGCAGTGCTGGCCTTGGGAACTGCACGGAGGGAGAGATCTGCAAGGTGTCCCTCGAAGCCCTGCCCATAGGCCAAGATGTATCCACAGAGTATTAAGGCATGGATTACTTCTTCTGAATCCCATCCAAAGCAGCAGAGAGTGTGGTCAGAGGTTTGCCGGTGATAGCTGAGACACCACTGTTACCAAGTGGTCAAGGCAAAATGTCAGTGGCCCCACGTGTGCTGTAACTGGCCCCCAAAGGAGCAGAGAAATGGGCTGTTGGAATGTCAGTTCCTCATGACTGCAGTGCCTCATCACAAGGCAGTTTGGCACAGCTCAGCTGTGTCATTGCAAAATCACTTGCTCCATGTGCATTGTGGTCTCGTGCCACCAACTTCTCGAGTTACTGATTTTCAATGTCATTTTAGGTGGCCATAAAGAAAATAAATCTCCAAGGACTGAAGAGGAAGCAAGTAACTGTCAATGAAATCAAGGTCATGAAGTGCTACAGGAGTCCCAATGTTGTGAATTATTTAGACAGGTGAGTGGTCATGCTTTTATCCCATGAATGCGCATTTATATACAGCAAGCGTGAGAGGTTAAAAATCTGCTTGGTCACTGGCCGAAAGTAGAGCTGTAAATTATTATTTATTCATATTTCTCTACTCATCTCCAATGGATGAGAAGAGATTGCATCTTGTCTGCATGAGTCTTCTCTGGCACACCTCATTTGAAAATGATTCCAAAATTATTCACAAACTGGATCACATGTATCTTCCTAAGTCAATACCCTCTAAGTTCATTGCCTTCACCTTTTTTGGGATGGATTTTTTCAAGTTTCTTAAGTGCTGATGAACCATCCTAAAGATGATTTCCCTTGGATTGTTGCCCCTTTGCCATTGCTGTACATGCCAGGAAGACGAGGTGCTTATTTCCAGAAACACCATGCCTGACAGGTTTTTACCTGGGCTGTTACTAAACTGCATTTTTCACTTGCTGGCCATCTAAAACATCTTCTTTTTCACAGCCGTGCCTTTCTCCTTGAGACTGCACAGATTGCAAATGCACAATGCACAGCCAAGAGGGGATCTCTATTCCTTTTATTCTGCCCTTGTCACAAAGGGACCTGAAACAAGAAACCTGGAAGTAAAAAATCAAGGCAGCCATGCATGTTTATCTCCATGCCCTTGTTTCCTTCTTTCAGCTACCTTCTGGGCGAGGAACTCTGGCTGGTTATGGAGTACATGGACGGAGGCACTCTGAGAGATGTCATCAATGAGTCTAACATCTTTGAAGGCCACATTGCAGCCATCAGTCGGGAGGTCAGAGATGTGCTTCCGAGGGCTTGGGCAGGATTGTCTGGGGAACGGGGGTTCAGATCAGGAGGGATTTCCTGTGCCAAGCTTTGTTTCTGTGTGGCTGGTATGCTATGGGCAAGTAAAAGCACCTGAAGTGAAAGGCCTGCCAGTGCCCCTGCACTCCCTGTACTCAGTGCCAGTACTCTTATCTCCTGCTGTTGTACTCTCACTCTGTCTCTTGTATTTGCTGTTCTCCATCTTGCCTCGCTAAACTTTTGCCTGTCTTCACTGCATTCCTTGCCTGTGAAAGCAAAGGTGCTGGTGGCAAGATTTGAAACAAACAGCAAAGAAAAAAGAGAGACTCGTTTCTCTCAGTCCTCAGCTAAAAAGGACAGGAGTGCAGCCCAAATGCTCTTTGCTTCTGAGCACATGCACTGCAGCAGCAGTCATTCTGGCTGGTTTGCAGGGGACAGCCTACAACAGCAGGTGCTGTTGCTCTTTCAAAAGCTGACGTGCCTTTCCTCAGAAAGGACCTGCTCTGCAAGTGTTGGTGCAGCAAGCTCTTCCTCTCAGTGGCCATTACTGTTCTGCCATTACTCCCCATTCCCCTGGAGAGGGAATCTTTTAGATTCTTTGTTTCCTTTCTTGTGTGATGAAATCCCATCACTCATTTTTGCCTTCCTGTTTCTGTTTTCTTTCTCAGTGCCTGCAAGGACTGGATTTTCTTCATTCAAACGATGTGATCCATCGAGATGTGAAGAGCAGAAACATCCTTCTCAGAACCGACGGTTCTGTCAAGCTGGGTCAGTATATTCTTGGTCAGGTGCAGCATTCCAGGGATGTGGCTGTGGGGCTGCTTTGAGTGACTGCCAGCTCCCCAAAAATGGTGCTGGTGGCAGCGCAGGGACACCCGCTGTGAGCTGAGGGCACAGTTGCAATGTGCACAGAGGTAGGACAAGGAACAAGCAGTCAAGGGTGGCCTTGTTCTGTGTGTGTCCCTTGCAGAGGGAGGGAGTTACAAGTCAAAAGCTTCCAAAGAACAAAAGCCACTGCTGGAGGCAGTGTAAAAAATGGGGGGATTTTTTAAGTCGCCAATGCCAGGAGATTCAACAGCACGTTTTCCAACTTCTACTGGGGAATTCTTTTGCTTGCTTTCCTAATTGCACAGAATTGAAATAAAACCAATATTTTGCTTTCTCCTCAGCTGATTTTGGCCTCTCTGCTCAGCTCACCCCTGAGCAGAGCAGACGGTGCTCGGTAGTCGGGACTACTTGGTGGATGGCGCCTGAAGTGGTGATGCATCAACCATATGGCCCCAAAGTGGATGTATGGTCTTTTGGAATTGTGGGGATTGAAATGGTAGAACAAGAACCTCCTTACTGGAGCGAAAGTTCTGGCACGGTAAGGAGCAAATACTCACTGATCCCACTGTCTTTCTCACCCGTCCCATGTCCTGCATGCCATTGGACAAAATCCCATTGCCATCTGCTGGAACTACTTCCACCAAGGTCCCCTCCTCAAAATGTCCCTGCAACACATCAGCATCTGCTCTAGTTCTGGTTGCATCAGTGGGGGAACTCAAGCCTTACCACATGCAAACAAACTCCATTCTCAGGCAACACTTTCCTTTGGGTTATAAGTGGTTCCAGTTCTTTTCTCTGTGGAGATGGCCCCAGTAACAGGAAACAAGTATCTAAGAAGTGGTGTTACCTTTCCAAAAATGAAGGAAAGAAACCCAAATCCAACAAAGTTTCTAAAACTGTGGATTCTAGAGAGGAACTGCATTCCCTGTGCAGTTTCTTCTCATTGGGAAACATTCCTGAAACCTGGGCATGAGGGTGTAAAGGCCACAGAGTCTCTTCTGCTTCTTGTGCAGTGCTGCTGAAACATTTAGTGGCCGTGTTTCTTTCATAGCCCAAGCCACGTTGTCCACGTCACCAAGCCAGAGCCTGGTGATGTGGAGAGCCTGCCAAAACCTGGCACTTTTGGGGAGGGGCCTACCATTCATGCATTGACTTGAGTAGCCAAATGAGCAGAGGGTGACCACAGGGATGCCACCTCTCCTTCTTCTGACCATGACAATTTTCTTTTGCTGCAAAATGGGAAGCTGAAATTTTCAGACTGCTGAGAGACAGAGCTGCAGGTGGCTCCTGTGTGGCCAAGCAGGCATTTTCATCCCAGTACATTTGTGCAGGCATCTTAATGTGTCTGTGTTGAAGATGAGATTGTAAATGTTTGTTTCCTTCCCTGGGGATTAACTGATGCATTTCCTTTCTTTTCTTCCAATTGCCATTGTTTTCAAGAACAGCACAAAAAGCTTAATGAGTTTTGTTCTATGGCATTGTTACGGTTTTACATGAGGGACATTTAGGGAAGTGACATAAAGCTTTTAACCACTGGAAAGCTGGACACACCTCTGTGAAAAACAGACGTTAAAAGATGAAAGAAACTTTTTCTTTCCCTTCCGGTTGGGAGGGAGGTGACACGGCCAGGTGGCCCCTGCTACGGGGCCCCCGCTTCTCCCAGGCTGCCTGCCGGCCCCCTAACATCAGTTTCTGGGCAGGGAGAGGGGGGTGCTGCGCAGCCAGATGGAGCCGGCCTTGGTAATATTTGGTTACTTGTTACACTGTGCCCAGCCCGGGGCCCAGCTGAGCTCACCGGCCCCGGGAGTAGCCCCGGCTCCAGGCTGGGATTTGACCTCCGCAGAAGTTACTCACAACCATCGGGCAGAAGGAAGGAGGAACTTCCTCTCTATTATCCTGGGTGTCACTGTTGAGTCCTGGGCTGGTTGATTAGATCTGAGCTGCGCCCCTAGCCCCAGTTTCTCCTGTTTGCAACCCCTAGTCCGACTGGGGTTAGGCTGACCATTTATAGGCTCGAGGTAAAATACGAATCCTTTTAGTGCTTCGATCCTCCCTCGAATGAGAGAAAAGAACAAGATATAAGTATGTGAAGGAATAAATATGAAAACATTATCATCAGTGAGCGAGAAGTTAAGTCCTAGATGGGAGGGATGAGGAAATATTTTAATTTTAGAGCTAAAATTCTCTTAGAAACAATGAAGAAAAAGGTTTTTTTCTTATAACACATGAAACTATGGGGAGATGAAGAGTTCAAATTGATAGTGAACAAAGGCCTCCACGTTAAAGTAAGCAGCTATTAAAGTAACTATAATCGTATGAGAAGTTGAAACAAGAGAAAGAGAGAAGAATAGTCCTGTACTGCCAGGAGGAGATTTTCTGTTCCCAGGGATAAAGATGATTTTAAAAATAGATAATGAAAACTTTTACTTTTGAACAACTCATCTTTAAAACAATACCCCATAGATCAACATGGCCCATAAACAAGTTGGGGGAAAGCTTTTAGAAAATGGGAGAAACTTTACGATAACAGGGTTCCGCAGGCAGCTGTTATTGATGAAGAAATTAAGAACCACAAGAAAACTGTTTTTTCCTCTTGTAGAGAAGTCCCCATAAGATTAACAAGAGGTAACAAGAGGGACTTCTCTCCCTAAGTAAACTGAAGTAAGACTGTTTTCAAAGTAGTCAATGGACTGGAAAGTTTAGGTTTTGTTTCTTTACATTATCAGTGAGAAAGAAAAGGTTCTGGGAAGAGGAGAAATGTTCTGAAGGCTTTATTCTGATCTTTATTACTCTTTCTTTTAGTTGCTATGCATAACATTTTCTTTATACTCTTTGAAAGTTTTAAGCCTGTTTTACTTTCTCCTAATCCTATCTTCCTAGCTCACAACAGGAAGTAAGTATATTAATAATTGACCAACACCAAACCCACCACACTCTTGAATACATTAGCCGGCAAAAACTCAGAACTGGGGAAATCTTAAATTGGGGAACCAAAACCACTAGACAAAATTAGTGTTTCTGCCCAGTTTTGAACTGGAACCGCCACAGGCACCTATGCTCAAGGGACCAACAAGCACTGCAGAGATGCCTTTCATGTACTAATCCTTGGAATTGGTTAGTATAGCAAAGACCCTCTTCCAAAAAGCCTCTCAAGCTGGTGTGAATCCTCAGAGAAGCAAACGTGCTTTTGCTGATGTAGCTCCCACTAACTAGGTCAGCCAATGAAATCAGCTGCCAAGGCAAGATCTGCGGGATGGTGGAAAAGCTGTGGCTGCATCGGGGTTTGGGTTTTTGGTTGGAACAGGAAAATCATCTCTGGGTCTCTGCCAGGGCAGAAACTACCACTGAAGAACAGAGGTTAAACAAAGGCATGTGGGAGAGCACTTAGAGATGTGAAAGGACCTGGTGGAACCTGGTGTTTCCTTTTTCCCCAGGCTAAACTCATGATAGCCATAAAAAGGACCCCACGGCTGCGGCAGCCCAACCGATTCTCGCCTTGCCTGCGTCACTTCCTGGGCTGCTGCCTGCAGAGAGACGAGGAGCAGCGCTGGTCGGCCAAGGAGCTCCTGAAGGTAAAATGTGAAGGGGCTGCAGGTGAAACAGGCTCTGAGGGATGGGTTCCTCCTCCACTCAAGTCCAAGGCATCAGATGAGCCCCCTTTCTCCTCACCTCCACTCTTGGAGCTCTTCAAATGAAAATGGTGAGGAATCCTAGACTGGGCTGGATTGGCAGGGCCCTGTAAATGTCCTGTGGTGCAAGTGTGCTGCAATGAGCAGGCACATCTTTAAAGAGATCAGGTTGCTCAGAATCTTTTCCCACTGGAGCCGGAAGGGTTACAGGGATGGGGCACCTACAAGCTCTTGGGGCAAGCTGTGCCAGGCTTGCACCATGCTCCGAGTAAACAAGTTCTTCCTTAGACCTACTCTGATTAGATCTCCTTTGTGTTTAAAAATATTCACCCACATCCTATTGTAACTGGCCCTGTTAAAAAAGATGTCCCCCACTTTCTTCAAAACCACTCTGAAGTCTTGGAAAGTGGCAACAAAGTCTCCCTGGGGCCCATCCTTCACAAGAACTGAACACCCACCAAATTACAAAAGGGGGGTATAACTCCACCTCCCTCCGCATTTCCTGAGGGGAGAGCTGCTCTGTCCTCTGACCGTTTCTATCACCCCCTTTTGTAATTTGGTGGGTGTTCAGTTTTATCTAATGGCAAAAGAATTGAAGCAGAGCAATGCAGGGTACAGAGACATGAAATGGTGTGGTGGAACCCAAGGAAGCCAGTCCCAGCTGAGCAGTCAGAGATTTGGCTGTGGGCAGGAGGGGCTTTGGGGGGCTCACTGGGAGCCTCGGAGGGGCCCTGCTTTGTGCCCCCCAGCCCACCCTTAGAGGTTTCTGCCACACAAACAGGGACAGCTGGGAGGGACTTGTCCCAGCCCCATCTGCTGCCTGGCACGCCCAAGCAGATGGGAACTGTGCCAGGGTTACTGCCAGGTTGTGTGGCAGAGAGGGAACTGCAGGGCCCAGTGCCACTGGGCTGGCCCTGCTGGGAAGGAAGGTGCCATCCAGCACATGAGGGGCAGGGTGTGGAAAGGCAGACACTGCTCTGTCTCCCTGTGGGAATCAGCACAGTGCCTGTCTTGCAAAGGCAGGGACCTATGTGAGTCATTGGAGTTTCCTGCAAGGGAGAAACGCCAGGGACAGAAAGCACCATTTCTAGAGCACTGGCAGGGCAAAAATCCCAACAAGATCAAAAAACCAGAATAAATGGATGAATGGGATTCTGGGCCAGGTTTGCCTGTGATGGCAAGCTCCTGCACATGACGTCTGGGAGATGATCCCATTGCTCCTCTTTCTGGGTCTGTCTGAGAACCAGAGCAATCCTGATTGAGTCTGTCTGAGAACCTGAGCAATCCCACTGAGCTGGGAAAGTAATGATTGTTTTTTGTTATTTTTTTTCCCTGTGGACAGCATCCATTTGTAACATCAGCCAAGCCAGCATACACCCTGGCACCACTCATCAGCTCAGTGAAGAGGAGGATAGACATGCGAAAACTGTGATCATCCCATCAGCACTATTTACTCCATAGGCATCTTAGAGTAGGATTGTAGCGTAGGATTGTAGTGTAGGATTTAGAGTAGGATTATGTGAAGAAAAGACAAAGGACTCTGCACAATTGAATGTGAATCAAGGAGAAGCCATTTATTGTGCTTCTAAAGATCGTTTATATTTACTTCCTATCTTATAGGTCTATATAGTAATGCACTGTTTGGTTGGCTGCTGCGCTTTGTCTATGGATCTCTTGATTGGTAGCTCTATTTTATCCTGAGGCAAGCACGCAGCTTTTTTTCTTTATCTAATTGGTAAATGCTGTAAGGGTCATTTGATTTAGCTTGCTACCCCTTTGTCTGTCAGCAACTCTTCTGCTTCTTCTTTCTGCTCGCAGCATTGAATTTTTATCCACAAAGATGGATATTAGGCTTTATTAAAAACAAGACCTAGTTCTGTAGTTCCAGTAGGTTAGGCTAGTTTGTTCAGTAGCTGTCCATTTTTTCTGTAAATATGACCCTACAGGATTGAAAATCAAGAGTAGGATTGTAAATCAATAAAGTTTCTGAAATTTTAACTCATCTGGAAGATTCCATTCTTTCTCACCCTGTGAATAAGCTCAGCATTTCCTTCTAAGCTGTCAGTTGTCTCTTAAAGCTGCAAAGTGACATTTATGGCTTCTTTGGTGTGCTTTGAAAGTGGGGAAGACTCTTCTTCATTCATCATCTCCAGACCACACTGCTTTTGGAATACGGCCCACTGTCCCATTTTGGCACATCTGTGACACTTCTAGATGAGGCAGAAAGGGCAATGGCATTTGCAGGCAAAAGAAAAGGAAGAATGGGGCAGCCCAAACATCCTGTGCAGATTCATGCCTTCAGCAGTGACTGGAGAACATTTGGGCTCCTACCACTTGGATTTGGATCCCTAAATGCAATCTCTTTGGCAGAAGGAGAGCCTTGCTCAAGTGAGAAAGCAGAAAGATCAGAGAGGGTGCTCAGCAAGGTCTCCTGAGGTGCAGAGCTGTGAGCGCCTGTGAGGTGAGAGCGGGCCCGGCCTTGCCCGGGCTGGAGCCCCAGCAGAGCCCCGGCAGAGGCTGGAGCAGGCTGAGCCCCGGCAGAGGCAGGCTGGAAGGAGGCCCTTGGAGCTGCCAGAGGCAGCAGCCGGGCCCTGGGTGCCTGTTCCTGGGAGGGGGTGAATCCTGCGCTCTCAGAGCCCAGGTGGCAGCTGGCTGCTCCCGAGGGGAAGCGCAGCCGTGCTGGGCACAGCCCGGCCTGGAGGCATTGGCTGTCTGGAGTGTGCCCAGGAGCAGAGAAAGGCCAAGGGCAGCCGAGGGCCGCTGGGCTGGCTGAGGATTCCTCTTCTTCTGCCGGCTGCCCTGCAACTCCTGGCCAAGGTCAGCAGTGTGTGCAGCACTCTGGGCACCGGGGCAGGGAGCCGGGCTGCTCGGCAGGCTGGAGCACAGGGCAGCCTCCTTCAGGCCCGGCACTTCTGCCAGGGCAAGCGAGGCCAGCGTGAGGCAGGGACAGCTTGGCAGGGCACATCTGCAGGAGCCAGCACCTCACACAGCTCCGGCAGGAAGCACCTGCAAACCTGCAGCTCTGCACTCAGCCAGAGCAAAGGTGTGAGGTGCAGAGTGTTTGGCAGAAATATTCAGGCCCACCAGGCCAGCCTGCTTTGTGCTCTCTGGCGCACAGCAAGCGCTGTGCAGTGCAGTTCTGAGCTGCTGGGAGAGAGGCAGTCAGGGATGTGCCTGAGGCTTGTGCTTGAGGAGTGAACTGATTTGGAAGGGGGCAGAAGCCTTTCAGTAGGTAATTTGTGTTTTCTTCATTAATTTCTGAAAGAAAGTCATCATGTGTTGCACACAGGTAGGGTTATTAGAAAAGAAAGTCCTTATAAAATCAGGCCTTGCTATGGTAAATTCCCAGCTGGCCTGTTAGGTCTTCTACATGCAGCCAGCTAACTTCCCATGGGAATAGTCATGAGTGCAGTTAGCACAACAAGCTATTGTGCTAAGAAAACTGTTTGCATCTGGAAGAAAGAAGAAATCTGTCCCATGAGCGTCCACAAAAGAAAAATGTAATCACCTAAGTAAGAGTGAGTCTTAAAAAGAGAAAGTCTTAGCATGTACACACCAAAACACCTTCTAAGCAATCAATTGTGTGGCAAGGAAACTACCAGCCAGTTGGAGTTGAACACGAGGTCTTTGAAAACAATATAAAAATGAGTTATGTGAATAAAGAATTGGCTTTCCCTGCATGAAGAAACTGAGTCCTGGCTGCTTTATTGACACAGCAATGTGGCTTCACTCAGCAGGAGCACTTGCAGGGTGTGTTGATGAAACGCTTGTGTTTGATTCCCAGAATAGGAAGGAGAGGTGTTAAGTGTAACAAACAGGGCTTAGTCTTGTGAATTCCTTTAGCTTTAACAGGAGTGCTGAACCCTGTATTCCCCCACTGCAGTGCTTACTGTGTGCAAGTGGCTATCTTGGCCTTGAGAATAAGGAGAGTGGTCCTGCTAAGAAGGTAGCTGGAATGCATTCAAAGGGAAGAAAGTGTTTTTAGGAGGCTCTTGGCCACCAAAGGAGAGTTTGAGCAATGGGATTATTTCCCAAACAACTGTGTCAGGAACCGGAGTCGTGTCCCAGGCCCTGCCATGTTTGATCTATGTTTGAGCAGGTTGACAAGACAATGAAGAAAAGTGTCTTGTTTAACAGGTGGGACCTTGATCCTTGAAAGAGAAACAATCTATTGGTCAATCGGTGAGCAGTCAAGCTTTGAAAGGGGAACAGTGCATAATGGAGCCCTTGGTGGCAGGGAGTCATGGAGTCATCCTGAGCCATCATCTCACAGTCAGCCATGTGTGAGCTGATGCTGTAACTGGGAAAATGGCACTCCTGAGCAGGAGATACAAGGCCTGGTTCTGAGCTGGAAGGGTGAGAAGGATGAGATGCACAGCATGTTGATCCAGAGGATGTCCTGGAAGTGCACTGCCTACCTGCCCCTGCTGCCAAGCACCATGCTCCATCTCCTTCTCCTGCTCAGCGGATTTCTGGGTATCCACATGTCAGTATGTATTATTTGCTACTGCAATTAATGGAATAAATTTGCTTTGCAAGCTCAGTTGTGTCTTAGATTCTTTTGTCCATGGGTCTCCTCCTGAACCTGTGGCAGTGATCCCCAGGGACCTACAGGACACTCCTACCCTGATGCCAATAAATTCTGAGAAGTGATTGAAATATGTCAAGAAATCTGGGGTAATGTTTAGCTTGGGAGTTTCAGCAAAGTATTGAACATGTCTTAGTTCCATGCATACAAACTGGTAGGTGAGATTGCTGGCTGTGCAGGTCTTAGGGAAGTGATTCCCTATGCACCCAGCACTGAAATAAAGTGATGCCTCCTTTCTAACCCTCAGCTGGCAGCAGGGATCAGGCTCTGCTTGGAAACTTTCATTTTGGCAACTTCTGTTAGCAGTGAGAACGGTCAAATGAACGCTTTTCCAGCTGTTTTCCTCTGGTTGATCTTTTTAGGCACCAAAGCTCTGTGCCACGTGTGGCCTGGGTGTGTGCAGAGCAATGCAGCCCTCACAAAGCCCTTGGTTTCCCCACAAGTTGCCAGGTTGACTGCTTCCAAAGGGGAAGAAAGGCAGAGATGTACATCCACAGGAGTCCTGGCCATGTCCAATAAATGTGCAAATATGTGGGGAGATTTGTAAGGAATGATTTCAGCTGTGATGCCAACAGTGCCTTCTCTCCTGGTTCTGTGCATTATAGGTGAGTAATGTAATAGTTGGCTCTCACAATTAGGAGATAGCTATTATGTGGACAGATATTATGTTCAAATGGAAAGTGCTGTTATTGTAATATGTCCTCCCATAGTCCTCTTTCTTATCCCCCTTGTAATCGCCTTGGTAGTCAGGACATTTGGGGAGGGCTGGCTTGTGACCAGCAGGAGCGGTGTAACAACACCTGACCTCCAATCAAGGTGCAAGAAAGTAATCTCCACCAATGGACCGCAGAGAAAGAGTTGACTGACAAAACTTTTGCAGGGGCTAAGGGCATAAAAGGCAGAGCATCCCTTTTGTAAATGAGCATGTGGCTGCTAATCATGGAGACTCCCAGTGCTGCAATCTTTCCTTATTCAGTCCTTTGTTAAGGTTTAATAAACCTTTAAAAAGTTAAAGGAAGGGTTGTTTCTCAGAAGGGCAATGCTTTAGCCCATTTTCTTGCTCTGGTTTCCTTTGCTTGTGTCCCATCTGAGTGCTCAGTTGGGGTACAGGCTGTAGGTGCTTGGGGCACTCTTGGAGTTCCTCTTGGATCCCTTGAACAACGGGCTTTGGCCCACAAGGGGAATTTGTGCTGCTTTGTGACAGAGGAGAACTTCCCAGGCTCTTTTGTGTTTGCTGTAGGGAAGGTTGGTTAGTGCTTGGCAAAATCTCACAGAGCAACATGGAGCGTTTGCTTTGTGATGTCAGGGCATGGTTGCCACATTGTCGTGGTGACATCAGAAGGGTGCCTTGGTGCACGGAAGGCCTGAGTGTCAGAGCAGCCCTAGCGCTTGCTCAGTTCAGGAGAATCCTCCTGGCCAAGGCTTTTGTTAGTGGGCTTTTGCACACTGACAGGAGCCTCGTTTTTTCTACCGGGTGCGCGCAGCCTGCAGACTTGCAGGCCACTATCACAATGATTGAGCGACTGGCACCTGTCCTTTTCGCCGTATATGGCGTTACATATGGTGCCTATTTCCTCACACACTTTGCACGTAAGTAGATGTTTCCTCTTCTGCTTAGGTTAGGATGTAACCTAACCTGGCTTTTGTATGTCTTCCTGCTCTTTCTTAGTGACTGAGTTTCTGCTTTTGAAATAGAAAGAGCATTAGGATGCCACTGATTTGGTCAAGCTCCTGTCAAGGTGTTCAGCTAAAAAGGGGGTGTCTGTAGCCACAGGGGCAGCATTTGCAAGGCAACCTGCAGGGCTTCTGTTCCCTCCACGGGAGAGTTGTGGCAGCAGAGTCTGTCATTTCCTCAGTTTGCTGGGACAAGCAAGACACCTTGGAAAATGTAGCCTGGCAGACCTTCTTGAAGGCCTTCTAAAAACTCTGCAGTTGTTCCCAGAATTCAGGGAAAGCTTCTTTCTTTCTCAATTTTGTCATGAAGGGATTTGACTGTCTAACTTGACCTTTTACCAAGTGCTTGAATAGTGATTCCCTTTGCAAGGAAGTACAACCGCCAAAGTAGTGAGCATCTACCACAGCTCAGGGGAATTTTGGGGAAGCTTTTCTGGGCAACTGTTTCCAGCAAGTAAATGAGAATTAGTACATGCAACTGATTAAAAAAAAAAAGACCCGAAGAAGAGGATTTAAAAAGCAGTTTTATGTGTTTTCTAGAAGAGGAGCATTGAGTGTTAAAGAACAATTTGCATTCTCTTGGTCATGTTTGTAGCCATTTACTGGCTCAACAGGCCAAAGTGTAGGCACAACCAAGAATTTTGACGTGGTCTCTTGCTGGCTGTGTGAATGAAATGTGTCAAATGTGTCTCTGGGAGGGATGTTATGAAATGGGAAATCACCTCTGTTTGGGTTGACTTGTTCTGTGGGATTCAGCAGCCCAGGCAGTTTTCTGACAGCATCTGGTTCATTTCCCCTGCCCACTACAGGTCACCTGAGGTGTGTATTCAGAGGTGCTGATCCTGAGGTGAGTGAGAAAGGAACATTTCCTGTTCCTGGTGATTAAGAATTGTAGAGCAAGCTGAGAGCTTGGCCAGTAGCAATAGAATGTAGAGCTAGGAAGGCTGAATGAAAATCCATTTTCATGCCTGCAACAAAAATAACAAAGCCAGAGATGGATATTATTAAATTTCCATCTCAGAGCTTTGAAGAACTAGAAACCTACTTTTGCAGAGAGAACCTTGCTTGCTGATAACAGATAGGGTGGAATATTTACTTAGGATCAATTTCCTTTACAGTTGAATTAGACCATTTTAATTTAGTCAGAGTGCCTTAGAATACTGTTCCTATCAAAATTTATGATATCTATTTAGAAGATGTCATTGTAGAACAGGAAGGCCATCTTGCAATGGTGCCTGCTGTATCTGAAGTGAAATGGGCACCTTTGTGGCTGGGGAGCTGCATGGGCCAAAAGGAGCCAGGGTTGCTGCTGGCCTTGATCAGCTGAAGATGAGGCAGCGTGTGGCCATGTGGCCAAGAAGGCCCAGGGCATGGTGGCCTGTGTCAGCAGCAGTGGGGCAGCAGGAGCAGGGCAGCGAGCGTGGCCCTGTGCTGGGCAGCGCTGGGGCCACAGCCGCAGTGCTGGGTGCACTTGTGGGCCCCTGGGCAGCAGAAAGTCCTTGAGGGGCTGCAGCGCGTGCACAGAAGGACAGGGGAGCTGGGCAAGGGGGTGTAGCACAAGGCCAGTGAGGAGGTGTTGAGGGAGATTTAGCCTGGACAATGGGAGGCTCTTGAGGGACCTTTCAGCAAAATTCCATCATTCCCTGCATGACAGTGCTCAGCACAAGGGCTGTTTCACTGCCAAACATCCCCTCACTGCATCCAAGGGCTTGAGACACTGCAGCGGGTGACACTTCCATCTTGTGGTTTGTTGGCTCGTAGTTTTGTTAGGAAGAGAAGGCCTGTTCATTTTCCTGTTTTTCCAGCAAGTAAAGATGCTTCTGTACAATGTTTCCAGCCCTTTTGCAGCCCTGGATGGCATTCTGATTCAGCCTGAGTTTTCCACGTCTGCAGCAGCAGTAGCAAAGGCGTTGCTGTCGCTTTCCTAGTTTTCCATTTCAGTGCTTTCAAGAACTAAAAGCTCCCTTTTGCCAAGACAACCTTGCTTGCTGATAGCAGCCAGGGAGGAATATTGAATTCATAGCTACATAGAATTCCATTGAATTAGCCCATTTGAATTTGGTTGGTGAGGTTGGTGTGACTTAGAATCCCATTACCAAAAAAATGTATGATTTCTCCTTAGAAGATGTGGTGGTAGATCAGAAAAGACATGAGGTTCTAAATGATAGGTAACAGCCTGTCCCTCATGCTTCTCTCTTGCCACAGGTGACAGAAGCAAGAGCCGTCTCTCCCCTGGCTCCCGCTGCTCCTGGAGAAGAAGCTAAAGAGGAGCAAACTGAGGTGGATGACCGCCAGCCTCCATCAGTGGTCACACCAGAGCCTGGATATTCTGGAGCTGTAAGTGCCAGTTGTGTGTGGTGCTGTCTTTAGTGCAAGGCAGAGCTGCAAGTTTTGGAGCAGCCAGCACTTGCTGTTGCTGGCTGAGGATGCTGGGTGCTGGAGTCCTGCCAGGAGCTTGGGATTTCCTGCAGGCAGTGACCGCAGAACTTGGCCTTTGAGCTGTCATGTTGAGGCAGCAAAGGGCTGGTGCCTGTGGGAGAGCATCTGGCTGCTTGGCTCAGGGAAGCTCTATCGCTTGGCTTCTGCAGTGCTATGGCCAAGGGCAAAGGAGGGAGTGCTGGAGGTGCCAGGCCTTGGTTTGTTTGTTTTCCCTTTCTGGAAAGGTGTGTTTGGCTTGTGAAAGCGGTCAGCACTTTCCTTGAGTAGTTCTTCACTTGTACAGTCTCTTTTGGGCCAGCTGTCTTTTGGCTTTTGATAAGCTGCAAGGGGAGGATTGTGTTGTCCATGCAGCTGTGGGGGGCCATTCCTGTCCTGCGTCGCCAAAGAAACAAAGTGCGGAGTCGCGAAGCTTTCTTGTGAGGCCAAAAGCAGAAGCGGCCAGTTTCTGTTGATGCATCTTTTGCTGCAGTCTGCAGCTTTGGCAAGTGCCTCTGAGCCTGCAGTGGGGGTGAAACTGCAAGTCCTTGAGCACTGTCTTGTGTTGCTCAGAAGAGGAAGGCCATCGTACAATGGTGCCTGCTGTATCTGAAGTGAAATGGGCACCTTTGTGGCGGGAGAGCTGCGTGGGTCAAAATGCTGGTCAGAATTCTCAGTTGACAAAAGAGGGAGAAGAAACACCTTGGTTCTCCTCCATATACTGAGGTGGCCATAGAGTTTCTCTGACATCTATCAGAGGATCTTTGCACACATTCTTATCTCCTGAATGACCAGGATTTCTTACAAGAGTATAGATGTCAGGTATGCAGGAATGCTGGTGCAGGCCTGAAATGAACTTGAACTGCAGAAGTGTCTCTCACAAGGGCTGAGCTCACCCAGGAAGCCAGCTGCAGAGCCAGGATGGAGCTGTGGGACAGGGTGGGGTGTCAGTCACTACTGAAAGACAAACAGGACATGGCAGAAGCAGAGGGAGGCCCTCAGCAGACCCTTGAGAAATGCCACATCTTCCCTGTCAGCTGCCTGAGAGGCTGTTGGAGCTTCAGTCCCAGATGGCCCCTGATTGTAGGGCCAGGGTCACTTTGGAATCTGTGCCTCTCCTCAAACAGAGAATGACCCAGCAGAGCAGCAGCACAGTGCTTTGGGAACGTGTGAGCCCAGCAGTCTTTGAGTCTTGGCCCACAAAGGTCGTGTGGGAAGTTGAAACCCATCTTCTCTTGCTTTCTGTGCAGGTGCTTCTAGAGAGAGAGCAGGAGCAGATTGCTTCATCAGAGATGCCATGGCAGACTCAGGGAGAGCTGTTCCCAGGCCGAGAGCAGGAAGAGCAGCTCAGGCAGCAGGTGGAAGAGCCACAGGAGAATGGCCAGGTAAGCCTGACTGGCCAGGGGACAGAGGGAAGGGCAGGAAGAGGGGCATAAACCAGAGCTCTTGGGACTGAGGAGGCCAGGAGTCCCACAGGCACTGGAAGCACAGAGCCTTGGAATCGGCAGAGATCAGCCCTGGGACAGGAGGCTTACAGTGGAAGCAGATGTGGGGAGGAAAGCAGAAAGAAGTGGCTGAATAGATGTGATTTTAAGGCTGCAAGAGGAAAAAGCTGAGCCTGATGGCAGCTCCCAGTCACTTGCTCTGCATTTGTGTGTACAGAAGATGAAGGCAGAGCCACAAGCAGAGCTGCCCAAAGCTCAGAGTGACATCATGGACGTGAAGACAAAGAATAAGGAAGACATGGGAAGAATTCAAGAGGAGAATCTCCATCAGCAGAGGAGCGATCAACAAAACCAGGTTAGTGAAAGAGTGGCAGCCACTCCACTCATGAAATGTCCTCTCCCTTCTCCTTTACAGTCTATCAAGGGACACATGCAGGCAGAACTGCAGGACCCTGAGGCTAGCAACAAGGTAAGGGAGAAGAGGCTGGAGGAAGAAATGAAAATTTTCAGAGAGAAACCTAATCACCTCCCTCAGGCTCTAGAAGTGAGTGAAAGAGGGATGCAGTCACTGCAGTCACCAAGCTGGTGGTTTCTGCCCTTCTTGCCTTTCCACTCAGAGCAGCAGGGAGTGGGGCCATGCCTCTGAGTGCTGTCCTGCTGTAGTGTGTATCACAGTCACTCTGAAGGACATTTCCTGGTGTGCTGAATCTCCACTGCTGCCATGGAGAGAGGGACTCGTCCTTTGGCCTTTTGGCCAGCAGTCATCCAAATTGATTCCTGCTCTCCTTGTTTCTTGAGGTGTTTTTGCAGCGGAATGTGGTGACCCAGATGGAGGATTGAAACAAGCTGTCTGTATCCTCTGTCAATCTGTTCTTTGTCTTTTCTCACAGTCGTTCACTCCTGGCTGACAGGGACAAGCTGTAGTGTCTGACTGCTTTGTTGTGTTTGACTTCAGGTGCAAGTGTTGACGTCTCACCGGGCAGCCTGCGAAGACTTCCAGCAAATGTCTGGCAATGAAGAGCCACAAGTTTGCCATGAGGCACAGGAACAGTGCCCACCAGAAATGCTTCAGGTGCAGCACATCATGGGCTCTGAACCTGCTGCCGCAGCAGCATCACCTCAAGGAAGCCCTTCAGTCAAACCTGGGACCTCAAGCTTGGGCAGTTCCTTTTTCTCTCCAAACCAGGAGACTGAGGAGAAGTACCTGGAGATGCTGGGTACGTCTGTGGTGTTTCTTGCCTGAGGGACAGTGTGTTGTGTGCAGGTGTCAGTAGAGCTATACCAGATGCTCCTCCTGAGTTTGGTGTCACAGGGCCATTTAGGACTCCCCAGAGGAAGTACTGTGCTCCGAGGCAGCGAGAGAGCGCTCTGGGTGTTCCTGCTGCCTCTGAGGGCACCTAGGACTGGCTTGGGTTTGCCTGAGCTTCCCTCTCCACTAAAGGCTGAAGCAAGGATTGTTCTTGGATCAGCAGAAGGCTGTGACCTAGCAAATGATCTAGGCAAATCCTGTGTGCTAGTGGCCACACTGAACAGAATTTTTAGCTTCCTAAATTCTCCTTAGACTCCTGACTTCCAACCAGTCATCAGAGCAAAAACACTTCACAGAAATGGACTGGCTTTGGAATTTTGTCTTTTTGGTTGGGGATTTTTTTTTTTTGGGGGGGGGCAGGGTGCGGGTTGTTTATGTGTTGTTTATTTTTTGTGGGGGCTTTTTGGTTTTTTTGTTTCTGTGGGGTTTTTTTTGTTGTGTTTTGGGTTTTTAAGGTTGATGGTTTGTGGAGTTGTCCATCCTGAAAGAGCCCTTCTGCCCCACATCTTACTGATGACATTTTTATGACTGTTACAGTTACCACTACTACATCTGCAGTTTATTTTCATGAGAATGCTATATTTTTTGTCAATAAGAGAATGCAATATTGTTGTCAATAAAAACTACTTTGAAAGAATATCACGTTACAGGACAAATAGAGAGCACGAGGTGTTTTCCATGTGCCCCCAAAGAAAAAAACAATTCTTTTAGAACAACCTTTATTTAATCTAGTTTTATTCTTATCAAGATGTTTCCAAGAGACACATCCAAGTGGTGTGATCAGATAAAAGTGTAATGCAGGCATTTCTCAGGAGAGAGCCTCCAGCCCAGCCATGGTCTATTCCTCAGATCAATGGCACTTTTCCATACCCAATTCCCACTCTTTCCCATGACTGTTAGAATCCTAGCCATTGGCCCAAGCCCTGCTCACATCAGTCCCTAGGAAAACACATCAAGTCCTTTGTGATTCTGCAGCACAGCCCAATCAATCTGCTTCTTGCCCGGAACAGCTGCCAGTGCTGTGCTCTCAGATAAGACATGGTGGGGCTGAGACCAGAGCCCGGTGGATTCTGTGTCTACCATCACCTGTTGGGACAAAAAGGGCACTGATCTGTGCCTCGGTGGGGCTGATCTCAAAGCCCATCCTCTTGTGTCCTGAATGGGGGCAACAGCTTGTAAGGGGCTCAGGCTCACTCTGGCTTCTTCCCATCAGTGCCTGTCAGTGCTCATGCTTGGGCTTTGCCAGCCTTGTTGTGCTGGCTGCCCTGTCCCTGAGGGCTGGAGGGACTGCAGAGGCTGGAGCCATCCTTAGCTGGGAGAGGGGCATCTTTGAGCTCAGCCTGCTCATAAACAGGTGAGGGTCCTGATGCTGAAAGGCCCATTGGGATTAGCTCTAGCATGAGCTGCTCTGGTTTACAAATGGGAAGGCATTCTTTTGGCAAATTGCTGAAAGGTGGAGAAGATGTCCTCCTCTCCTGGAAATGCATCTCCCTGTGCTTTCTTTGCTATCAAGAGAACTCTTCAAAGGACTGTACAAAATCAGTCTCTGTGCCAGCCATTTGTGCTGCAGGGCTGCCTGTCCTGTTGCTGTTGTGATTGTTGTTGTTACTCAGCAAACTCCAATGGGCTCAGAGCCCCAGAGAGTGGGGCTGCCTTTTGTACCTCCTGGAAGCTGGGATCTCTGCTTTAAAGTCAGCATCTTGCATTTTGTTTCCCTCAGGGAGAATGGTGAACCCCAATGATAATCCTGTGAAGAAGTACACTGAAAAGGAACAAATTGGCAGCGGGTGAGTTCAACCACAGTTACTCCTGCACAACCATGGGCCAGGTGTTTTTCTGGTGGAATGTCTATCCAGCGTGAAGTCAGGCCAGCTGCAAAGATGTTCACACACTGGGGATAGATTGTCCCATCTCTCAGTGCTGCTCAGAATTTGTGAGTGGTCTCAGAAGGCATTGTCAGCGACATCTCCATGCTGCCAAGGTCTTGCCTGCATCAAAGAACAGGACCTGGAAGATCTCCTTGTCTCTCAAGAGTGGGAATGCTCTGTGTTCATTTCTTTAGCATTTTTGTATGTCTTAAAATCATACTGCCACACCAATGAAAAAAGGAAGTAACTTGCTTGCCTGAAAGAGCAAGGTATCCCCTATCAAAGCTGTGAGATAAAAGTTGCCAGGAATATTCCTTTCCCCTGGTTTGCAGAAGGAAAGTCTCTGTTGCCAGGATAGGAATCACACAGTTTAGAAAGTGAAACCCAAGAGGAAAGACTAAACTCCCTTTAGAAGTTGAACCCCAGTGCTTCAGGAACAGGCCCAGTGCCCATGCACTTGAGAGGAAAGTGCATCATCCGCCTTCTGGCAGAGCCCTCCTGCATCCTCTGCAGGTTTTGACACTTCCAGCAGAGATCACCTGTGTGGGCTGGCTTTCACTCTAGGACCTAAAGAGCTTCTCCTTTCTCTGCTTCTCTTTTGTTTCTAGGAGTTTTGGACATGTGGTCAGAGCACTCAACAATGCCACAGGAGGAGAGGTAAATATCAACAGGCCCTGCAAACTCTGCTGCTCTTGAGGGGCTTTCCCCTCTGGTGTGAGCTGTGGCTGGAGCTTTGGATAGAGCTGTGCTGAAAAGGCACAAGAAGCACAGACTGGTGCCAGCCTGCAAAATACATTTGGGACTTTGTCCTCCTCAGCTGCCGGAAGGAAGGCACGGAGGGCACCAGTTCCTTTCAGAGAAGGACGCGCTCGCTCGCTCTCCATTGCTAAAACAAAGGTGGTGCCTTTGAGCACCTCACTGCTCTTTGGGGCTACAGCTTCAGAGTCCTGAATTCTCATTTCTGGCTGCCAGCAAATACATCTGAAAGTTCCTGGTAGTTCCTTAGCCACCTGCAGTGCTGGCCTTGGGAACTGCACGTAGGGAGAGATCTGTAAGGTGCCCTAAAAGCCCTGCCCATAGGCCAAGATGTATCCACAGAGTATTAAGGCATGGATTACTTCTTCTGAATCCCATCCAAAGCAGCAGAGAGTGTGGTCAGAGGTTTGCCGGTGATAGCTGAGACACCACTGTTACCAAGTGGTCAAGGCAAAATGTCAGTGGCCCCACGTGTGCTGTAACTGGCCCCCAAAGGAGCAGAGAAATGGGCTGTTGGAATGTCAGTTCCTCATGACTGCAGTGCCTCATCACAAGGCAGTTTGGCACAGCTCAGCTGTGTCATTGCAAAATCACTTGCTCCATGTGCGTTGTGGTCTCGTGCCACCAACTTCTCGAGTTACTGATTTTCAATGTCATTTTAGGTGGCCATAAAGAAAATAAATCTCCAAGGACTGAGGAAGAAGCAACTAACCATTAATGAAATCATGATCATGAAGAGGTATAGAAGTCCCAATGTCGTGAATTATTTAGACAGGTGAGACGTCTTCCTCTTATCCCATCAATGGGCATTTACATACAGCAAACATGAGAGGTAAAAACCCACTTTGGTCAGTGGCAGAAAGTAGAGCTGTTAATTTTTATTTATTCATATTTCTCCATTCATCTCCAATGGATGAGAAAGGAGTGCATCTTGTCTGCATGAGTCTTCCCTGGCACACCTAGTTTGAAAATTATTCCAAAATTATTCAAAACCGGGATCAGCTGTATCTTCCTAAGTCAATAGCCTCAAAGTACACTGCCTCCACATTTTTTTTGGATAGATTTTCTAAAGTTTCTTAAATGCTGGTGAGCCATCCTAAAGTGATTTTCCCCTGCATTGTTACGTTGCCCCTCTTTGCCATTGCTGTGCATGCCAGGAAGACGAGGTGCTTATTTCCAGAAACACCATGCCTGACAGGTTTTTACCTGGGCTGTTACTAAACTGCATTTTTCACTTGCTGGCCATCTAAAACATCTTCTTTTTCACAGCTGTGCCTTTCTCCTCCAGACTGACCAGATTGCAGATTGTCTATTCCTTTGATTCTGCCCTTGTCACAAAGGCACCTGGAAACAAGAAACCTGGAGGCAAAAAGTCAAGCTAGCCATGCATGTTTATCTCCATGCCCTTGTTTCCTTCTTTCAGCTACCTTCTGGGCGAGGAACTCTGGCTGGTTATGGAGTACATGGATGGAGGCGCCCTGAGTGACGTCATCAGCAAGACCTACCTGTCTGAAGTCGAAATGGCAGCCATCAGTCGGGAGGTCAGCAATCCCATCTGTGCTTCCGAGGGCTTGGGCAAGATTGTCTGGGGAACGGGGGTTCAGATCAGGAGGCATTTCCTGTTCCAAGCTTTGTTTCTGTGTGGCTGGTATGCTATGGGCAAGTAAAAGCACCTGAAGTGAAAGGCCTGCCAGTGCCCCTGCACTCCCTGTACTCAGTGCCAGTACTCTTATCTCCTGCTGTTGTACTCTCGCTCTGTCTCTTGTATTTGCTGTTCTCCATCTTGCCTCGCTAAACTTTTGCCTGTCTTCACTGCATTCCTTGCCTGTGAAAGCAAAGGTGCTGGTGGCAGGATTTGAAACAAGCAGCAAAGGAAAAAAGAGAGACTCATTTCTCTCAGTCCTCAGCTAAAAAGGACAGGAACGCAGCCCAAATGCTCTTTGCTTCTGAGCACATGCACTGCAGCAGCAGTCATTCTGGCTGGTTTGCAGGGGACAGCCTACAACAGCAGGTGCTGTTGCTCTTTCAAAAGCTGACGTGCCTTTCCTCAGAAAGGACCTGCTCTGCAAGTGTTGGAGCAGCAAGCTCTTCCTCTCAGTGGCCATTACTGTTCTGCCATTACTCCCCATTCCCCTGGAGAGGGAAACTTTTAGATTCTTTGTTTCCTTTCTTGTGTGATGAAATCCCATCACTCATTTTTGCCCCCCTTTTCCTGTTTTCTTTCTCAGTGCCTGCAAGGACTGGATTTTCTTCATTCAAACCACGTGATCCACCGAGATGTGAAGAGCGACAACATCCTTCTCAGAACCGACGGTTCTGTCAAGCTGGGTCAGTATATTCTTGGTCAGGTGCAGCATTCCAGGGATGTGGCTGTGGGGCTGCTTTGAGTGACTGCCAGCTCCCCAAAAATGGTGCTGGTGGCAGTGCAGGGACACCTGCTGTGAGCTGAGGGCACAGTTGCAATGTGCACAGAGGTAGGACAAGGAACAAGCAGTCAAGGGTGGCCTTGCTCTGTGTGTGTCCCTTCCAGAGGGAGGGAGTTACGAGTCTAAAGTTTCCAAAGAACAAAAGCCACTGCTGGAGGCAGTTGTAAAAATGGGGGGATTTTTTAAGTCGCCAATGCCAGGAGATTCAACAGCACATTTTCAAACTTCTACTGGGGAATTCTTTTGCTTGCTTTCCTAATTGCACAGAATTGAAATAAAACCAGTATTTTGCTTTCTCCTCAGCTGATTTTGGCCTCTCTACTCAGCTCACCCCTGAGAAGAATAGAAAGAGCGTGATAGCCGGGACTATTTGGTGGATGGCGCCTGAAATGGTGAAGGATCAACCATATGGCCCCAAAGTGGATGTATGGTCTTTTGGAATTGTGGGGATTGAAATGGTAGATCAAGAACCTCCTTATTGCAACCAAAGTCCTTGCACGGTAAGGAGCAAATACTCACTGATCCCACTGTCTTTCTCACCTGTCCCATGTCCTGTGTTGGACATTGGACAAAATCCCATTGCCATCTGCTGGAACTACTTCCACCAAGGTCCCCTCCTCAAAATGTCCCTGCAAGACATCAGCATCTGCTGTAGATTTGGATACATCAGTGGTTGAACTCAAGCCTTACCATATGCAAACAAACTCCATTCTCAGGCAACATTTTCCTTTGGGTTATTAGTGGTTCCAGTTCTTTTTTCTGTGGAGATGGCCCCAGTAACAGGAAACAAGCACCTTAGAACTGCTGTTATCTTTCCATAAATGAAGGAAGGAAACCCAAATCCAACAAAGTTTCTAAAACTGTGATTTTTAGAAAGGAGCCTAATGCACTGTGCAGTTTCTACTCACTGGGAAACATGCCTGAAACCTGGGCATGAGGGTGTAAAGGCCACAGAGTCTCTTCTGCTTCTTGTGCAGTGCTGCTGAAACACTCAGTGACTGTGTTTCTCTCCTAGCCCAAAGCACATTCTCTGTGTAACCAAGCCAGAACCTGGTGATGTGTATAGCCTGCCAAAACCTCCCAGTGTTTCCTGGCACTTTTGGGGAGGGGCCTACCATTAATGCATTGACTTGAGTAGCCAAATGAGCAGAGGGTGACCATAGGGATGGCACGTCTGCTCCTTCTGACCATGACAATTTTTCTTTTGCTGCAAAATGGGAAGCTGAAATTTTCAGACTGCTGAGAGACAGAGCTGCAGGTGGCTCCTGTGTGGCCAAGCAGGCATTTTCATCCCAGTACATTTGTGCAGGCATCTTAATGTGTCTGTGTTGAAGATGAGATTGTAAATGTTTGTTTCCTAACCTGAGGAATATGTGGTGGATTTCCTTTCTTTTCTTCCAATTGCCATTGTTTTCAAGAACAGCACAAAAAGCTTGATGAGTTTTGTTCTATGGCATCTGTGCTTAAGGGACCAACAAGCACTGCAGAGATGCCTTTCATGTACTAACCCTTGAAATTAATTAGTATAGCAAAGTCCCTCTTCCAAAAAGCCTCTCAAGCTGGTGTGAATCCTCAGAGAAGCAAATGTGCTTTTGCTGATGTAGCTCCCACTAACTAGGTCAGCCAATGAAATCAGCTGCCAAGGCAAGATCTGCGGGATGGTGGAAAAGCTGTGGCTGCATCAGGGTTTGGGTTTTTGGTTGGAAAAGGAAAATCATCTCTAGGTCTCTGCCAGGGCAGAAACTACCACTGAAGAACAGAGGTTAAACAAAGGCATGTGGGAGAGCACTTAGAGATGTGAAAGCAGCAGTTGGAGCCTCGTGGTTTTTTTTTTTTATCCAGGCTAAATGCCTGATAGCCACAGTAGGGACCCCAAAGCTGCGACAGGCCAAGCACCTCTCGCCTTGCCTGTGTGACTTCCTGAGCTGCTGCCTGCAGACAGATGAGGAGCAGCGCTGGTCGGCCAAGGAGCTCCTGAAGGTAAAATGTGAAGGGGCTGCAGGTGAAACAGGCTCTGAGGGATGGGCTCCTCCTCCACTCAAGTTCAAGGCATCAGATGAGCCCCCTTCCTCCTCACCTCCACTCTTGGAGCTCTTCAAGTGAAAAGGTGAGGAATCCTAGACTGGGCTGGGCTGGCAGGGCCCTGTAAATGTCCTGTGGTGCAAGTGTGCTGCAATGAGCAGGGACATCTTTAAAGAGATCAGGTTGCTCAGAGCCCTTTGCCACTTGACCTGGAATGGCTCCAGGGATGGGGCACCTACAAGCTCTTGGGGCAAGCTGTGCCAGGGTTGCACCATGCTCCAAGTAAACAAGTTCTTCCTTAGACCTACTCTGATTAGATCTCCTTTGTGTTTAAAAATATTCGCCCACCTCCTATTCTAAGTGGCCCAGTAAAAAAAGCTATCCACCACTTTCTTCAAAACCACTCTGAAGTCTTGGAAAGTGGCAATAAAGTCCCCCTGGGGCCTGTTGTTCACTAAATTGAATAATTCCACTTCTCTCTGCATTTCCTGAGAATTGACTGTGGGGAGGAGGGGCTTTGGGGGGCTCACTGGGAGCCTCGGAGGGGCCCTGCTTTGTGCCCCCCAGCCCACCCTTAGAGGTTTCTGGCACACAAACAGGGACAGCTGAGAGGGACTTGTCCCAGCCCCATCTGCTGCCTGGCACGCCCAAGCAGATGGGAACTGTGCCAGGGTTACTGCCAGGTTGTGTGGCAGAGAGGGAACTGCAGGGCCCAGTGCCACTGGGCTGGCCCTGCTGGGAAGGAAGGTGCCATCCAGCACATGAGGGGCAGGGCGTGGAAAGGCAGACACTGCTCTGTCTCCCTGTGGGAATCAGCACAGTGCCTGTCTTGCAAAGGCAGGGACCTATGTGAGTCATTGGAGTTTCCTGCAAGGAAGAAACACCAGGGACAGGAAGCACCATTTCTAGAGCACTGGCAGGGCAAAAATCCCAGCAAGAATGAAGATATCACAATAAACCAATGAGTGGGATTCTGGGCCACCTTTGCCTATGATGGCAAGTTCCTGCACATGACAATTGGGGAACAGATGGTCCCATTCTTCTACTTTCTGGGTCTTTCTAGAGGAATCATGATTGAGGCTGTGAAGCACTGAGCTTGGAAAGTCATGGTTCACTGTTCTTTGTTGTTTTGTTGTTTTTTTTTTCCTGTGGACAGCATCCATTTGTACGTTCAGCCAAGCCAGCGTCCAGCCTGGCACTACTCATCAACTCAGTCAAGAAGAGGAAGTAGGAGATGAGAACCTATCAATCGTGTCAAGATGTTATCTTCATAGCCAAGTTTGAGTAGGATTGTAGAGTAGGATTCTAGAGTAGGATTGTTGAAGAGTTTTGTAGAGTAGGATTGTAGATTAGGATGGTAATTAAATAAAGTTTCTGAAACATCAACGCATTTGGAAGATTCCCCTCCTTCTGACCCCTTATCATTCCATTCTTTTTCCTTTGCTTGCAAGCCTTCTGATGAAATCCTTTCTTCTACTCTTTTAGTATAGTTTTAATATAATATATATCATAAAATAATAAATCAGCCTTCAGAAACATGGAGTCAGATTCTCATCTCTTCCGTGGTCCTGTGAACACCACCACAGCCCACTGGCTGGTTTTGGCACAGCTGTGGTATTTCTAGTTAAGGCAGAAAGGACAATGGCATTTGCAGGAAAAACCAAAGGAGTGGGGCAGCAAAGACATCCTGTGCAGATGCAGGCATTGAGCTGTGGCTTGGGAGCATTTGGGCTCCTACCACTTGGATTTGGATCCCTAAATGCAATCTCTTTGGTGGAAGGAGAGCCTTGCTCAAGTGAGAAAGCAGAAAGATCAGAGAGGGTGCTCGGCAAGGTCTCCTGAGGTGCAGAGCTGTGAGCGCCTGTGAGGTGAGTGCGGGCCCGGCCTTGGCCAGGCTGGAGCCCCAGCAGAGCCCCGGCAGAGGCGGGAGCAGGCTGAGCCCCGGCAGAGGCAGGCTGGAAGGAGGCCCTTGGAGCTGCAAGAGGCAGCAGCCGGGCCCTGGGTGCCTGTTCCTGGGAGCGGGCGAATCCTGCGCTCTCAGAGCCCAGGTGGCAGCTGGCTGCTGCCGAGGGGAAGCGCAGCCGTGCTGGGCACAGCCCGGCCTGGAGGCATTGGCCGTCTGGAGTGTGCCCAGGAGCAGAGAAAGGCCAAGGGCAGCCGAGGGCCGCTGGGCTGGCTGAGGATTCCTCCTCTTCTGCCGGCTGCCCTGCAACTCCTGGCCAAGGTCAGCAGTGTGTGCAGCACTCTGGGCACCGGGGCAGGGAGCCGGGCTGCTCGGCAGGCTGGAGCACAGGGCAGCCTCCTTCAGGCCCGGCACTTCTGCCAGGGCAAGCGAGGCCAGCGTGAGGCAGGGACAGCTTGGCAGGGCACGTCTGCAGGAGCCAGCGCCTCACGCAACTCTGGCAGGAAGCGCCTGCAATCCTGCAGTTCTGCATTCAGCCAGAGCAAATGTGTGAGGTGCAGAGTGTTTGGTAGAAATATTCAGGCCCACCAGGCCAGCCTGCTTTGTGCTCTCTGGCGCACAGCAAGCGCTGTGCAATGCAGCTCTGAGTTGCTGGGAGAGAGGGAGTCGGGGATGTGCCTGAGGTGAGTCAAGGGCTTAGCTGAAAATGTAATTAGGATAATTGAAAAGTGCAGCTGAGTTGAGGGGCCAGCTGGGAATAGAATTGGGATAGTAGGAGATTGCATATTTTAATTAAGATTTTAAAATGAGGTAAGAAGCTAAGTTAGTAATATAGCAGAAATCACGCACCTTAGTTAAAGAGTACCACATATATTAGGAACATAAAGCTAGGAGTGATGGGGATAGAGGAAGCAATTGTGAAGAAGCAGAGACCATAGAAATACCTCGCTTTAAGAATAATTGAACAGTTAGGAGAGGCTTGGACCATGACCAACAGGTCAAAAGGTCTTGCCAACTGGCCATGGGAGAAGAGTTCACCATGAGGAAGATGGCTTTCTTCCTCCCATACAACCACTCCCTCATTTCAAAATTCTACAGACCCGGTTAAGGGAGTACAATTGTGCAGCTGTAATAGATATTCAGCTGATAAAAATACGAAGTGGGCAGGTAATAATTATGTATTATGGATCCTTAGAAACCTAATGTAAAACCTTTTCTGTAGAAATAGAGAGCAGGAGTCTGCAACTCCGTGCACATGTCATTGGAAACTTCTTCATATGTGTCCAGTGCTGCAATAAATACCCTTCTTTTCTACTATAATTAGTTGAAGAGTCATCTGTCCATGCTTCAAGGGTTATGCTGGAGTAATGAACTGATTTGGAAGGGAACAGAAAAGTTTCAGCAGGCAATTTTTGGAAGAGATGGAAGCCTCTTGTGACTGAAGGGAAAGCCATTTGGAATGGAGTAGTGATCCCAAAGTCCATACAATACTGCACCAAAGGATTAGACCCTTCTCTCTTCAGGACCTTCTAACTGATCCTGCCTAAGTTCTGCTTCTACTGAATATCAGCCAGAGCTCACACCTGTGTTGCAGGGCTGTTCTTCCTCTCAGTACTAATGGCTTGGCTGTCTCTAGCTGACATATTGCTTACCCAAGGTTAGTCTCTTCCATATTCCTTAGAAAAGGATTTTATCTTAGATCCCCAAATTTTGCATGCATGCCTTCATGAAAAAAAAACCCTACAACACAAACCTTCAGGAGAATCATGGCATAAAAGCAGATTCCATTGATCAAACCCACAATAACTACATTTAAAAGTGGCTGTATGAGCCTTTCTTCAGACTTTTCTCAATCGTGGCTCCTTAGTATCTTTTGGGAGATAACTATGCTGCCCCTAACAAGTCCAGATTAATTAGCAAGTGCTAATTAGTCATGCATCCAGCTTTCCAGCAGTTGTGTAGCATTTTATCAAGATAACTGGTGCCTGGACATTGCAACCAGCTTGTGATTTGTGTCTGCCCACTTCTTTTCCATGTTCTGAAAAACTAAGAGCAAGTTGAGCCAAGAGCAATCAATAGTATCCTTGTGAGTGCACCTGAACACATTTGACAGTGACACCTCATCCTATTGCCTATATTCTCCCACGGAAGATTCCTTGCTCTTTTTTCTCTGCCACCAATGGGGATCTGCAGTCCCTGCCCGGCACTGCTCCTTGTGGCTTGTCAAGGCAGAGGCGATGCTCTGGTGCACCTGGCGCAGGTGAGCCTCGGGCCCGGGCAGGGACCGATGCTCCGAGCTGCCGCGGATACGGCGGCGAAGGCGAGCGGTGCCGAGGCCTCGCTGGGAAGCCGAGCGGCGCCCGTGGCGCTGCCTCCCCGGGCAGGGCTGTGCTCTCAGCGCCGCCGGGGCTGCCGAGCAGCGCTTTCCACGCGCCTGCGGCTCCGGAGCCAGCCCCGCAGCCGCGCTCTCCCGAACCGCACTGACCCGCGCCCATTCTCGGCCCGGCTGCAGGACTCCCTGATTCCGGGCTCTCCGGCTTCCCGGTCTGCCTGCAGGAGCCTCCTCTCCCAAACTCCCGCCGCTGGGCTCTCTTCTCCCACGTCTTTCCCCCCTTTCCCTGTCCCTCTCCACTCTACTCCGGATCTCCCCCCTGTTCTCAGGTTCTCCCCCATCTCCTGGGTTCTCCCTCCTCTCTCGGGTTTTCCCCAGTCCCGAGCTACCCCTTGTCCCAAGCTCCTCCCTTTCCCAGGCTGTAGCCAGTGCTTTTATTCGTCTCCCTGGATCTGCCCTTCTCCCGATTACTCCTCCCTCTTCCAGGATCTACCCCCTCTCCCAAGGCTCTCTCCTCTTTCTCCGGCTCTACCCTCTTGGAAGGCAACCCACCCTTTCCCAGGGATCTCACCCCCCCTCTCCTGTGATCTCCCCTACTCCCAGGCTCGTCCCCCTCTCTTGGGATTTCCCCCTCCTCCCAGCATCTCTCTGTTCTCCCGCTCACTCCTCCCTCTGCCAGGTCTCTCTCCCCTCTGCCGGGATCTCCGCCCGTTCCCGGAGCGCCCCATCCCCCGGCCCCTCACCGCCCGTCCCTCACCGCCTCGGCCGGGCCGCTCCGGGGCCGCGCTCGGAGCGCAGCGGGGCCGGGCCGGGGCCGTGTCAGCTCCGCGGTGGGGGCTCCTCCGGCCTCGCTCCGGACACGAGGAGCTCCGACCTGTGCTCGCTTTGTACCTTCAAGACTGCCGGATGCCTTGCAGTGAAGCTGGAGTGCCCGGGCTATTCTGGTCGCTTCTTGTCCTCAGCTCAGCAGTGTTATAAATGATCAATCGAAAGCCAAATTATCAAAAATGCAAAAAGATTTATCTTTTTCTGTCACCAAAATACGATCCTCAAAACCACCACAGCCAAAGAGACAGCATCAAGCCTCGGATCGGCGCTCGGTGAACCTGGATCTGACCTCTATCGCATCGGACTCCCCCTCGATCACGAGAGCCGCTTCTTGCGGGGATATTTTATACAGTTTATTATGCCTGAGGCAAAGGAGTCCAAGTTTCTTTTGTAACTTTTCATAGTTGGTTCTTTCACTTTGCAGAGCTGGACAATCACCGTTTCCTGGTCGACAGCCAGCATTGATCAAATCCAAGAAGTCGCGTATTCACATGCATCTTTCTGGCGACTTTGGCTATCTTGATCAATGTTATCAACAGGGCAGTGATCGATGAGATGATCGCTCTTAGGGGATGGCTCGGGAGGGATAACAGTGATCATCACGCTGGGTGCATCTATTCATGAGCTAACTGCCGATTGTTCTCCTGCCACCTTCAGGAACTTCAGAATTTGAATAGACGTCTGCCTCTCTGGCTGCTTGTGGTCTGAGACTTGTTTGGATTTTGCAATCTTTATAAAATACATTCTTTTATAGCATCAATTATTTCTAACATATATTGCAGCAGGAAGGTGGTCCCAAGCATGGGTGTGAGGGATGTGTGTGCAGTTTGTGTCCTTGAGTCCCTGTGTGTTGGAGTTTGATGTGTTCACTCTGGCGGTAAATTCTTGGGTGTCATGATTATGAGCCTGGATTTACCCAGGCTTTTAAGTGAAGAGAACATGGAGACATTTTTCTGTGCAGTTCCTAGAAAACAGGTATATTTTCCATGGAGGTTCTGTCCTATTTTGATTTGTCTCGGAGGAACTTGTGGGTTTATTTGCTGCTGGAATAGTTGCTGAATATGAATAATTTTGAGTAACTAGAAGAAAATACTACCTCACAAAAAAGGATTCTCACTTTTAAAATTTCAGAGGTTTATTATAAAATACAACAAGACTAAATAAAGAA